CTTGGAATATATCCTAGAGAAATAAGAGCCATCACACGAATAGATATATGCACAGCCATGTTCATTGCAGCACTGTTCACAATAGTAAAAAAATGGAAACAACCTAGGTGCCCATCAAAGGATGAATGGATAAATTATGGTATATTCACACGGTGGAATACTATGCAACAATAAAGAACAACGAAGCCCTGAAACATCTTGTAACATGGAGGAAGCTGGAGGTCATTATGCTAAGTGAATTTAGTCAGTCACAGAAGGACAAATACTGTATAAGACCACTATCATAAAAACTCAAGAAAAGGTTTAAACACAGAAGAAAACATTCTTTGATGGTTATGAGGGTGAGGAGGGAGGGTGAGGGTTATTTACTAACTGGATAGTACATAAGAATGATCTTAGGTGAAGGGAAGGACAGCACACGTTACAGGGGGAAGTCAGCAAAACTGATTAAACCAAAGCTAAGAAGCTTCCTGAATACAATCAAACACTCTGAGGGACAGAGTAGCAAGGGTAGGGGTCTGGGGACCATGCTTTCAGGGGACATCTAGGTCAACTTGCATAACAAAGCTTATGAAGAAAATGTTCTGCATCCTACTTCGGTGAGTGGCGTCTGGGGTCTTAAAAGCTTGCAAGCGGCCATCTAAGATGCATCAATTGGTTCCAACCACCTGGAGTGAAGGAGAATGAAGAACACCAAAGACACAAGGAAGTATTAGCCCAAGAGACAGAAAGGGCCACATAAACCAGAGACTTCATCAGCCTGAGACAAGAAGAACTAGATGGTGCCTGGCGACTACCAAAGGCTGCCCTGACAGGGATCACAACAGACAGTCCCTGATGGAGCAGGAGAAAAGTGGGGTGCAGAACTTAAATTCTAGTAAGAAGACCAGACTTACCTGTCTGACTAAGACTGAAGGAACCCCGCAAAGCATAGTCCCTGGATTGTCTATCAGCCCAGAACTAAAACAATTTCAGAGGTCAACTCTTCAGACAGGGATTGGACTGGACTGTGGGACATAAAGTTATACTCGTGAGGAGTGTGCCTGTTAGCTCAAGTAGGTACAAGAGACTAAACGGGCAGCTTTTGTCCGGAGGTGAGATGGGAAGGCAGACAGAGTTGGGAGCTGGTTGAATGGACATGGGGAATCAGGGGTGGAAAGGAGGAGTGTGCTGTCAGAGTATGGGGAGAGCAATTAGGGTCACAACAATTTATGTATAAATTTTTGTATGGGAGACTAATTTGAAATGTAAACTTCATTTAAACTACAACAATAAACAACAACCAAAGAAGAAAATCCCAGTGGTAGGCAAATCTACCGTTAAAAAACCTAAGACCTTTAAGGGCATTATAAAATATAAAGAACACTGTTGAGAAATTATACAAAACATGTTTGACTAAATGGGTGGTCTTCAAAAGCGATGCCACCCCTCAAGTGGGAGGTTATTAATGCTTTTCAAAGAATAGATAGTTTTAAAAGCACAAACAGTTTTAAGACACAGGTTATATTAATGGAATTGATTTTCAGATGCTAAATTTGCAAATGAACTCCTTCCCTAAAACTGTGAGGGTAGAAATTTTCTCTCTTTGAGGAAAATAATCAAGGGTGTAAGATCTCTGACTTTTAAAGAAAAACCTGTCATAAGTTTTTTTTAATAAATGATGGGTATCAAATAGTTATGGCAAATATTTTACTGAATATATTTAAAAGTGCTACACAACAGTTTTACTTTTAAACATCAATATTCAAAATATCAAGATTATATCTTTTGGAAATGTTGGAACTTACTATTAAAATGTTTTCATTGTTAACAAGAATACATGCAAGAGGTTAGACATTTCTCAATACTCATTAGGGAGATGGTAGCCAAAAAACTTTGAAGCTACCAAACTAAATCATGTCAAAATTTTGTTAATCTCTGATATTCTTATGCCAAGATTCTAAGTAAGGAAGTATATATCTAAGGCCTGGGCTGTCTGGAGTGACATAGGTGGGCCTTATCAAAGAGCCCTTTGTGGAGAGGGTGAGATTTGAGCAAAGATTTTATCAATAGAATGCAGGGAACTTGAAGAACTTGAGAAAAGATAAATCAGCTGAACTAGAGAGGTAGGGGTCAGCAGCACACAGTGCTTTGCAGGAGAGGGAAAGCAGATGTGCTCAGTTGGAAAATGGAAAGACCTGGATTTTCAGGTCAAAAGAAGCTTGAGTTCAAGTTCAGAATTTACCACTTTTTAGCTGAGCCACTTTAGAGAAATCTTACTTTCTATTTTGAAGATCAAATAAGGGGATATAAAAGAAAGGGCTTTTTAACTTGTAAAATGATAGCACATGTTAGACATCACTCCCTTTCAACTGGGAACCATTGAAGGGTAGCACTTTACAAACCACTGAAGGGTGGCAGTTTACATAATGGTTAAAGGAATGGGTTCTGGAACCAACTGACTAGGTTGAGACAAAAACTGCCATTTCCTTTCTGCACCCCTAGCCAATGTGTGTAAAATGGTGATAACAAGAGGTACCCACTTTATAGGGTTATTATGAGGATTAAAGGAGTTAATGTATGTATAGAGCTTAAAATAGCACTCTAAAGAGCTAGCTGTTTTATTATTGTTGGTGGTGGTGGCTGTGTTATTGTTACTATTGCTTTCTAATTCTCAATATCAAGTAGACATCAAGAGATTATCAACCGCTAATAAGGTATTTAAAAAAAAAAAGAAAAAAAGCTACAGAAGCAGCAGCTAAATCTATTATACCCATTGCTGTAGAGTTGATTCCGACTCATAGCGACCCTATGACAGGACAAAGTAGAACTGCCCCATAGGGTTTCCAAGAAGTGGCTGGTGGATTCGAACTGTTGACCTTTTGGTTAGTAGCCAAACACTTAACCAATTAGAGGGCTTTAATTATAAAAGCTACTAACTTGCTCCTTGGCTTTACATCAAAAGTATGTGAAAATGGTCCAGTTAAGTTCTATGCTGTTATAACTAACAAAGCTTTATATATATATATATATATAGTGGTGTAGTAGTTAAGTGCTATGACTGCAAACCAAAAGGTCTGCAGTTCAAATCTACCACGTGCTCCTTGGAAACTCTATGGGGCAGTTCTACTCTGTCCTGTAGGGTCACTATGAGTGGGAATTGACTCGATGGTAATGGGTTTATATATACATACACATATTTTCCTTTGCTTAAAGGCTAAAGACCTAAAAGAATACATTGTATTTTGTTCTACATAGAATATCTTATAGTCAGCAGGTTTATATATGGTTCTTAAAATAACACAATTTGTTAGAAATGATTTTGCCATATGGTAGGAACATTGTGGACTTTATCTAAAGTAGTGCTAACCCAAAAGTACCAAAAGATCCTGTTATAAAACAGCCTTACTTATTATTAACGTACCAAGCATAGAGCCGAAATCAGCAGAATGACCCAAGCCCTCTGGGCTCTGGTTGTTAAGATTTTTGACATTTAAAAACTGTTATGAGTTGTGCTTTTTTTTTTAATTACAGAGATAATTCATCATTCATGCTCTTTTCATATACACATATGTGTATCTATGCACACACACATACACACACAATCAAAAGAAAAGAAAAAGCTGGTGTTCCACCTTAATTCCTCACTTTTAAAACCATGTCCAGGATAGCCAGCTGCATAGTTCTTAAAAAATTATTTTAGAAGTTTTATCTAGAAGCTCCTTTCATAAGTTTTGGCTAGAATGTTTACTGAAAATATGAAAACACAAAGCTCAGAAATGTGTTATTTTAAGAAAAGCATGTAAAAAACTATGCTTTAACTTTTAAAAAGAGGTTTGGGTAATTATAAATAAAAAGCAACATGCCAAACAGACTGTACTGATTCCTAACTACATTTAAACATTATAGATGAGCTAAAATTCAGGATATGTTCGGGATATTTTTCGAGATTTTGTTGATGAATAACATGTACTGAGAAGCAACAGATTAGTATTAAAAATGTAAAAACTTACAAGTATGTCTGGCCAATGAATAGTTGGATCCACCACTAGTCAAACCAAATCCCTCAGGAATTTGACTAGAGCTTCGAGGTCTGGTCAAGAGTTTGGGAGGTTCAATTTCAGCACCAAATTCAGCTCCTATCACTCCTAGTAAAACAATAGCAGTAGCTTGCTTCCGTCTTTCCTCATAAGATGTGGATATTTTTTTCATTTGTGGGACACTTGACAGACAACCTGAAAACCAAAACATAAGAATGTAAATTAAAAGACTATTAAGATAAAAAAGGCATGCAATTAGAAACACACTCAAGATTACTCATTCAGGAAAGAACAGTCTTTTCAACAAATGGTGCTGGGTCAATTGGTTATCTAACTGCAAAAGAAAGAAGTTGGACCCCTACCTCACACTATGCACAAAAATTAATTTAAATGGAATCACAGACCTAAATGAAAGAACTAAAACTATAGGTCTCTTAGAAGAAAAGACAGATATAAATCTGCATGACCTTGGATTAGGCAATGATTTCTTAGATATGATACCAAAAGCATAAGCGACTTAAAAAAATTATAAATTGGACTTAATATTAAAAACCTTTGTGTTTTAAATGACATAATCAAGAAAATAGAAAGATAACCCACACACTGAGAGAAAATATTGTCAATCATATATTTAATAAGAGACTGTATCGAGACTATATAAAGAACTCTTACAACTCAATAATAACTCATACAACTCTTACAGCCAAATTTTAAAAATGAGCAAATGATTTGAATAGACATTTCTCCCAAGAAGAGATATGAACAGTCTAATAAGCACATGAAAGATGTTCAACATCATTAGTCATTAGAGAAATAAAAATCAAAATCACTTCACATCCACTAGAATGGCTGTAATAAAAAAGACAGACCATAACAAGCGGTGTTGAGGATGTAGAGAAACAGGAACACTCATTCATTGCAGGTGGGAATGTAAAATGGTGCAACTACTTTGGAAATTAGTTTGGCAGTTCTTCCAAAAGTTAAGCACAGAGTTATTATATGTTTCAGAAATTCTACTCCTAGATGGAATACCCAAGAGAAATAGAAACAAATGTACACATAAAGCCTTGTACATGAACATTTATAGCAGCACTATTCTTAATAAATAGCCAAAACAGGAACAATTCAAATGTCTACCAACTGATGAATGGATAAACAAAATATGGCATACCCATACAGTGAGAATTATTCGGTAATAAAAAGGAATAAAATGCTAACACATGCTACCACATGGATGACCCTGAAACATTATGCTATGGGACAGAGGTCAGCCACAAAAGACCACATATTGTATGATTCCATTTACATGAAATACTCAGGACAGGCAAATCTATAGAGACAGAAAGTAGATTAGTAGTTGCCTAGGGATGGGATGGAGTAAAAATGGTCAGTGATTGCTAATGGGCATTAAGTTTTTGGGTGATAAAAACATTCTAAGACTACGGTGATACTTGTACAACCAAAATATACTAAGAACCATTCAACTGTACACTTGAAAAGGGTTAATTTTATGATATAGAAGTCATCTCAATAAACTTGCTTTTAAAAAAGATTGCTCATTCACTCATTTATTAATTGGCCCATTAATGTAGCAAATATTTACTGAGCATCTACTTTGTGCCAGGGAACTGCAAACATGAAAATAAATAAGGTTCTAAGAAGTTCAGAAGTGCATGAAAAAAGGAGAACCTGTTCACAAAGGAGGAAAGGCTGGATTTAAGACTGCAAGGTGAAGTAGAAGTTGCCAGGCAACAGGAAGGTGGGCAACAAGGAAGGATGAACATTTTGCCCAGAGGGACCAGGATGTAAAGAAGTAATCAGACATTTGAAGAAGTACTTGTATAACTTGGGTAAAGCTCAGTATAGTTTCATATTCAGAAGAAATACCTACATGATAACCACAAAATAATAAAAAACAATTAGAATCTTTATTAAAGTATCATAATAAATAAGGGAGTGCTGAAAAATTACATTCCTAACACATAACACTACTCCTTAAAATTTCCAACATTTCTCTCACTAGGGTAGCTACATCTCAATTACTTACCCAAAACTCTCCGAAGATTTGGTCCTTTGTTCCAATCTACTCCCTTTTCCAGTTCTACTCCTTTCTGTAAGTGGTCTACCTTTTATTTTTTTGTTTGATAATTATTATGCAATATTACAAGAATACAAAGAATTACATAGAGATTATATAAAGACTATCATGACATACATGTACACAACTAACCAATTTGATAAAATCTTAACGTTCTCCCACACGTGCTTCAGATTTTTTAAATTACAGAAACCCTGGTGGCGAAGTGGTTAAGAGCTACAGCTGCTAACCAAAAGGTCAGCAGTTCGAATCCACCCGGCACTCTTTGCAAACTCTATGGGGCAGTTCTACTCTGTCCTACAGGGTCGCTATGAGTCGGAATTGACTCAATGGCAACCGTTTTTTTTTTTTAATACGGATACAACTGAAGTCCACTGTGGATTATGTCTTGACCTCATTCCCCTTCCCTCCTATCCTGGAGGTCACCACAATCCTGACCTTATCAATTTTTCTTTAATCTACTTATTGATATAATAATTACATTAATATATTTTCTGGCCTTAAACTACGATTCCATTTCTGTGGTAAATTCAGGATGGATGAATGGATGGATGGCAACAGACAAGTGGAGAGACAGACAGACTCTGAACTAAATTTACTAATAGGGTGTTTTGCATTTATGTCCATAAGTGAGATTGGTCAAGGATTTTCTTTTCATATACTATACTTGTTGGGTTTTAGTATCAACATAACACTATCCTCACAAAATGGGTTAAGTAACTTTCCCTCTTTTGCCCCCTTTTCTTTGAAAAGGGAACTCTGGTGGCTCACTGATTAAGCTCTTGGCTGCTAACAGAACCGTTGGCAGTTCAAATTTCTCCATGGGAGAAAGATGTAGTAGTCTGCTTCTGTAAAGAGTTACGGCCTTGGAAACCCTATGGGGCAGTTCTGCTCTGTCCTACTCTGTCTACTCAACAGCACACAACAACAACAACATTCTTTGACAAGACGAGTTTGATAAAATAAGAGTTATAGGATTCTTGAGGTTCAGGTGAAAATTCTCCTCTAAATCCATCAGAGCCTGTGTGCCACTGGAGGCTGGAGTGGAGGGGAGGGAGCCGAATGGAGGAAGGAATGTTTTTTATTATTAATTCACTTTTCTTAATAAGTTACTTACTTAGTCTGTTTCTTCTTCAATCATCTCTGGTAACTTATAGTTCTAAAAAATCATTATTTATTTCATCTAAGTTTTAATTTCACTGGCATGAAGTTATTTACAATATTTGCTATGATTTAAAAAAAATCTCAATTATAACAGTTGCTGTGGATTCTTTTAAATATTGTTTATTTGTGCCTTTTCAAGTATTATTGTTTTGTGCCTTTGTAAATCAGTTTTGCTATAAATATACATTTTAATATTTTAAAAAATTTTTTTGTTTTATTGATTTTATCATTTCTATTTTCATTAATTTCTGCTCTTATTTCTATTATTTCTCCTTTCTTTAGGTTTTCTTCTTTCTCCTTCTCTCTCTGTTTTCTTTTGTTTCTAGGTTCTTAGGTTGAACACAACTCATTTATTTTTTCTATTCTCTATTATAGTTAACAGGATTCCTGGTGGCAGAGTGGTTAAGTGCTTGGCTGGTAACTGAAAGGTTGGTGGTTCGAATACACCAATGGATCCATGGGAGAAAGATGTGGTAGTCTGCCTCCGTAAAGATTACAGCCTAGGAAATCCTATGGGGCAGTTCCTACTCTGTCCTATAGAGTCACTGTGAGTTGGAATCGATTTGATGGTGACGGGCATTAAGGTTAACACTGCCAGGTACATACATAATATCCATTTTCCTCCTCTCCCTTAATAACAAAACTTCAATTTTATTCTGGGTAGCAATGTACTCAAATCCTTTTAGGAAATGAAAAAGTCATAGCTCAGTTCCTGGCTTTACGCTTTACCCATGGCATATTTTAAGTTCTCTTTAGCACACAGGAGCAAAAAGCCTGCTTCTGGAAAGCAGCTCATGGTTTCAGCCTGGATCATTGCACTTTTATTCCATTACTGGCCCACAAAGATATATTTTTTGAAGCTCATTATGTCTCTTTAGTTTTCCATTTGTATATTTTATTCATCACAGCTATGTATTTGACACCCATCCAAACCCACTACCCTTGAGTCAATTCCGACTCCTAGTGACCCTAAGGGACAGAGCAGAATGGTCCTATAGGATTTCGAAGGTTGCAAATCTTTACGGAAGCAGACTACGACATCTTTCTCCCACAGAGCGGGTGATGGGTTCAAATCTCCAACCTTTTGGTTAACAGCCGAGTACTTAACCACTGCCTATCAGGGCTCCAGTATTTGACACAGAGGTATTAAAAAAGTGAACTTCTGGAGCCATCTTGACTGGAAGTCAGCTTTCTCCTCTTTCTGATATTAATCCATCAGCTTTTCCCACCCCTTTCAGTTCTCTGCTGTCTATATTAATTAGATCAATAAAACAACTGGCCCTCAGAGCTCAGAATGCCAAGTAAGAAATCAGCAATGGGACCTTCTGAATACTTGTGGGTGTTTTATTTTATTTTGCTTCCTTTTTTTTTTTTTTTTTTTGCTTTGTCATCCTATATTACTGGAGGGCAGGCAGGAGAACGACAAGAGGAGAGGCTAAAAAGGTACCATACAATGAGAGGCCTCATAAGGCATGTCTCAATTTTAACCTCGGTTTATGGAAAACCATCAAAAGAACAATTTTGCATAAGGCAGTGACATCAGACTCATTCACTGTTAGAAAGATCATTATAGTGGCAGTACGGGAAGTGGATTGTGAGATACAATAAGACTATCAAAGGGAACAAAATAAGTGCAATAATTAGGTGGAAAATAGTAAGTACCAGTGGTGGTAGCAGTTTATTCATTCTGTCAGTAGGCACTCAGTTATTCAGCACATAAGAATTGAAGGTCAGTGTATGCTGGCATTATGCTAGATATGAATCAATAGGGATGAGAAAAGCAAAGTCCCTGCCCTCACTGAATTTGAAGGCTATTAAACAGGAATTAGAAATGCATAGATTACAGAATCAATGAGAACTATCTAGACTGAGAGAACTGTATGTTTGAGAACCCAAAGCATGATGAACTTGTTGATTTCTATTTCAAGAAAAA